AGGGCTGGGGGAGGTCTGTGTGGAGCAGAGGAGTTGAGGCCTCCCCATCCTTGCTTCCAACTCCTCTGTGATGGAGGGGTTGGATTGTGTCCAGCCTCATCCTGTGTGGAGATGAAGGCTCAGGTTAACTCTGTGCACGTCTCATTACTGGGGACAGTGAGGGGAGAGGATCATCTCTGTGCTCACCTTGGTGAAGGCTGAGGGAGGGCTCTGTGGAGCGGAGTAATCTCTGTTGGGGCCTCCGCACCCTTTGTCGTTGCTGCTTTGCAGTGAGGATAATTTCTATCCTCATTTTCTGTGGAGAAAAAAGAAAAGAAAAGCAAGATCTGCCCTCCTCCCCTTATGTGGGGTGGGGAGGGGGACAGGGGATAAATTTGGTGGGGTCTGGGGTAGGGTAGGGCAGGGTAGGGTAGGGTAGGGTTGGGGCCTCCACATCCGTCGTTCCAACTCCTCCGTGATGGAGGGGTTGGATTGACTCCAGCCTCAACCTGTGTGGAGATGAAGGCTCAGATTAACTCTGTGCACTTCCCATTAATTGGGACAGTGAGGGGAGAGAATCATCTCTGTTTGTGCTCACCTTGGTGAAGGCTGAGGGAGGGCTCTGTGGAGCGGAGTAATCTCTGTTGGGGCCTCCGCACCCTTTGTTGTTTCTGCTTTGCAGTGAGGATAATTTCTATCCAAATTTTCTGTGGAGAAAAGAGAGGAAAAGCAAGATCTGCCCTCCTCCCCTTATGCTGGGTGGGGAGGGGGACAGGGGATAAATTGGGTGGGTTCTGGGGTAGAGTAGGGTAGGGTAGGGTAGGGTAGGGTAGGGTAGGGTAGGTGGAGCGGAGGAGTTGAGGCCTCCGCATCCGTCGTTCCAACTCCTCCGGGATGGAGGGGTTGGATTGTCTCCACCCTCAACCTGTGTGGAGATGAAGGCTCAGGTTAACTCTGTGCACTTCCCATTACCGGGGAGGGTGGGGGGATCGTCTCATTTGTGCTCACCTTGTTGAGGGATGGAGGCGATCTCCATGGAGCGGAGTAATCTCTGTTGGGGCCTCCGCACCCTTTGTTGTTGCTGCTTTGCAGTGAGGATAATTTCTATCCTCATTTTCTGTGGAGAAAAAAGAAAAGAAAAGCGAGATCTGTCCTCCTCCCCTTATGGTGGTCGGGGAGGTGGACACCTCGTTGTTGCTGCTTTGCAGCGAGGATAATTTCTATCCTCATTTCCTGTGGAGAAAAGAAAAGAAAAGTCAGGTGTGTCCTCCTCCCCTTATGGTGGTTGGAGAGGAGGTCACCTCTTTGCTGCTACTTTGCAGCGAGGATAACTTCTATCCTCATTTCCCGTGGGGAAACAAAAAGAAAAGAAAA